CTTATGATATTAGAGTCTTACCCATTAAATAATTTTTATTTTATAATATAATATAATATAAATTATAAAATAATAAACTCATATAAAAATTACACTTAAATCACTTTTATTCTCAGGCATAATGCATCCACTTTACTTCAATTTATTTAAAGCTCATCTAATAAAATATGAGATTGCAATTTTTTGATTCAAGTCAAATTGGGTTAAAAAGCTGTGAGTACAGGGCAAAAAATGATTAAGATACCATTCATATATGACGTGATTACTTTTTTAAGTTAAGCTAATATTTTTTTTTAACCAAATTAAATTGGAAGTATCATTTTTAAATAATTGTGGAAAAGCAAAAGAATGAAGTACCCTTCACCCTTGAATTGGAATCCAACCAGTTTGTGCACTGCACTGAATATCCACTAGAATTTGTTCTCCACTACCACGAGGCAAGAAATTCCTCCCCAAGTTTATCCAACTAAACAAAACATGATAATATTGGCACTTGAAAAACCCTAATAAATCTCCAAGAAGAAGGAAAAAGGTGATACGCATTGGGGTTAGTGGAACACTCAGACTGCACTTCACAAAGTCCTGCACTTTAACAACATTCTTTGTAACTCGCTATCTCTTTTGACGATTCTGTCTTCCTGCAAATGGCAGCGTGCTTTGTTTGTCTTCTATGTAAAGCTTTAGTGAAGCAATAAAGTATAATTTCTATTTATTTTTGTATTGAGGAAGATTTCTTCTTGAATTGACCTTCCTCTTATGTTACAGAAAGTCACATTTTGAGGTTAGATATTGTTGTCCCTAACATAGTTACAAGAAATGCAGACCTTTTGAAAAACCTAATGAGATGATTTTCTAAATTTGTTTGTTATTATGCAGTGGAAATCAATGATCGAGTTGTTCCACAACCAGATGTAGTATGGTGATGAACAGCTTCATATTATTTCCTTCAACTGCAGCTATGTAGACAAAACAGAAAATGAAGGGGGAAACAACAAATATCATGGACCGCGGGGTGCAAAACAGAAGCAACCTGGAGCTTGGTCTTCAGGTATCATGCCACCTCCCTTTGTTGTATCTACTGCTTCTAGCAATTTCACTACCTCATCCATGTCAGGACGTTTTTCTGGGTTAGCATCCCAACATTTACGCATAATGCTTGCTAATGAATGGGGACAACATCTAGGAATTTCTGGCCTTAAATTCTGCAAAACATTTCCAATTACATTCCTTGTCAAAACTTCAGAGCATTAAAACAAAGATGTGTACTTGTTTAGTAAAATTCCTTTTCCTTGAGAAGAAAAAAATTTATCGTCTATACAAATGCAAACCTGTCTCACAACTGCAGATGAAACCTCCACAAAACTGAGATCGGCGTAAGGCATGTCACAGCAATATATTTCCCATAAGCAAATACCAAAGCTGTAGACATCACATTTCCTGTTGTAAGGCTTCCCATCAAGGACCTGCATAATGTTTAGTACCTTCTTTAGGCATCTTATTTCAGTTGACCACAAAAAAATTAAGCATAATCATAACAACCATTGAAGTTGAAATCAAGATAAGGAGTGAAGAGAGACAGATACCTCAGGGGCCATGTAACCAAGAGTGCCTGTTTCCCCAGTCATGTCCCTTGGGTTTTGAGCTTCAACTCGAGCAACACCAAAATCAGCTATTTTTAAAGTTCTTTGGGCGTCCAGTAACATGTTTTCTGTCTTCACATCACGATGTACAATCTTTTTGGAGTGGAGATAGCTCAAACTGCAAAAATAGAAACCAGGAAAACCTCTCAATTTTCTGAAAAGCAGACTTTCCATATTCCAATAGTATTCAAAATCTGTACTCACCCTCTAGAGAGGTCCAATGCAAGTTGAATCACAACCTTATATGCAAGTTTCTTCCTCCTATTTCTAATCAAGAAATTCTTTAAAGTCCCACCAGGAATGTATTCAACAACCACACAGCAAGCTCTGGAAGGGAGAGAAGCATGATCTTCATCTGTAGCATTTTTGGGAGGAATCTTAAGGTTGGAAGTTCCCATTGAAGCTCCAACAAACTGTAACAGACCACCCGCCAAATTAGGACACATGTAAAGAAGTATAACATATAGTGTAAGAAATGACAACCATCCCAAGATTATACAAAAACTAGCAAAAAGAGCTGATTTTAGACAGGAGACAACTTGAGTGAACAGAAGGAAACATAAGGATCAGTTAAATAACTCCCTACACCATACTAAGCTTGGAAAACCAATTGTCTTCTCACTGATCATCTATGACCAATCTAAGATGTTTAATGAATTCTTTTTCCCTCTCAATGTCATGGTCTCTCATAGATAGCTGAATTATCATAGCTAGTACTAGTATTGATGGATTGATTAGTTGCTCTGACTACAAAATATAGACAGGATTAGCCTAGTACACTAAAAATATATATTCACTCTTTACCTTTGTAACATTGGGATGGTCAAGCTTATGCCAAACAGCAACCTCTTGGCGAAATGATGCCCGAAGAGCAGCAGCTTCAGCAGCTGTGGCAACTCCATCTTCTCCCCAATCCAATACCTTCACTAAATTATGAAGAACAGCTTGAGTTCAGGATAACAGTAAGAGGGAACATGATTACTTATATTTATTGCAGGGATGTTGATGTTTGCTACCCCTGTAGAAACTGAATAATCAAATGAAATTATAGAAAGATGGACATCAGAAAATTAATATTAAGCTGCTCTAGACACTGGCTTGAAGCCTAGAATTAGTCCTTATTTAAGAAGAGATGTCTGATGAAATTCTAGCACAAAAATTTCTGTTATTAAGGATGGTCAATGATTGACGAGTACAGTATATGTAGAACCAAAAATGAATATATCAAATCAAAACAATAACGATTTGGAATAAATCAAACATTTGGCATCCAAAATATATCATCTCAGATAAGTCACAGTTGATTCAAATACTAGGGAAATCCTTCAAAGAATGAATTAACAGAAAAGAACAGTTGTAACCCAATATGACAACTTGACATCATCTTAATTGCAATGTAAGAACTTCTATCAAGACCGATAATGGTCTAAAGGAATATGCAACTTTTTGTGGATGTTTATTAATGGACACCTATTTAGCAGGCATGTGGAGGGCCTGGAGGCTGCAATTTTAAGCTATTCATGTACAGACACATAAACAATAAATAGTTCAAGAATGGACACAAAAACAACTGCTTCCAAGTTCCCAAATCTGTCACATGGTAAGTTAACAGTGTCAAAGTTACCACATCTCAAAGACTAAAATATGAACCACCTTCTTTTCTTTTCTTTTCGCTAGAAAAATTTGCTGGCTTCATTTCAATTATACCAGTTATGGTAATCAACAAACCTAAAGGGTAAAGCTAAAAATCAACCAATTTTCAAACAAGAAGTAAATAAAAGCATGAATATGCAGAAAAATCACAAGGACTAATTACAACAGAAGGTTGATATCTAAAATAAAGGTGATACCTGCAACATCTTGGCCATCATAAACACCCCGGTACACGGTGCCATAAGTTCCATGAGCTAAAACATGCCTTATATCCAATTTTGCCAAATCAATATCCCACTCTTCCTTCTTTACATCATCATCAACTTCCCTTCCCCTTGACCAGACCTTGCTCAAGTGCTTCTCAAGCTGCAAGTCCCAGCTCTTGAAATCTATCTTATCAGCTCTAAAATACAAGTCCTTGCTGCTAAGGTTCCCCTGACCCTTCACCTTTGAACCCAATGCCTTGTCTTGCCTGGCAGCTTCTCCTTCATTCCCATCAGATTTCTCTGTTTTTTCAACAGTTCCAGCTACCACACCATTGCTTGATGCCATTTTTATGACAGCAGAACCAAACCCACAAACTCCTACCAATTTCTTTTCCAACCCAGAAAAAAAAAAAAATCAAGCAACCAATTCAACTAAAGCAGAAAACTTCAAAATCCTTAGCTCTCTGTTTTTCCTATATAAATTGAATTCTGGATGCAAAACCAAGAAAAAACAAAGTTTGACAAACTCCAACATAGAAAAAAGAGGGCAAAAAAAGAATCAAGAGAAGTATAAACCTTAGAATGAAACGATGGATTCTGGGTGCAAAAGTAGGATTTTGTGGAGGAGAATTGAGAGAGAAAAGGAGAAAGTCTTGATTGGAAAGAAAAGAGAAATTTTAGGAAAGATTAGCGGAGCGCGGGGATTGTGGGTTAAATTAGATGGGTGGCCGTTTCAAACTCAAAACAAATCTCAACTGGATGCGCTAATTTTTACCTGTCCGCCTTTAACGGATTTACCGGTAAGATTAGATTTCCTTTTCTTGAAGAAATGTTTTGATTCCATACGCCAAAATGCCAAATGACCACATTGCACCACATTTTTTTTTTCCTAACGGGTAGGATATTCCTATGTAATCACTTCTAATAAATTAAAGGT